GTTTATTAAATTAACATTAGTTCGTTTTACTAATATTACTAATATATTAATTGATAATAATTTTAATAATGTTATTTCGCAAGTAACACTTTCATGTATAAAAATATCTTTGCAGGTTATTTGCAATGATGGTATAATGAAGACGTATGTCCATGCGCGGCGTTCAAAAAGTTTCCCGCTTTATATTTTATGACATATACACGGGAATCTGACAGATGATATAGAATATATGCTACGGAAAGAGATAGCAAAGTATAGAATTGCAATATAATTGCACCAATTGGCGTAATTTGGGTGCCTTAGTTTCGGTGCCCTAGTGTCATGTCTATCAGGGGTTATTTGTATTTTCTTTCAATTTTAAATGAGTTTTAAGTCAAAAATGACAACCCTTGTAGATATTGTCGGAAGAAAAGATTATCAGCGGTACACAGCGGCTATAAAATGAGACAGTATGTTGACTTTACCCGATAAAATATGACTACATTTGCAAAACCAAGGTGAGCAAGGTAGCCTTTTCCAGTTTTTTTAGATGTAGTAACGTTTTGAATCTGTACTTAGTCTTTCCCGTGACCATAAACAGAGTAGTGTTAAAATAGGTAGGAAAAGGTGGGAATTTTAAAACACAGTAAAACCCGTAAAATAGTTTCATTTTTTTTTTTATTTTAACAAAGTAACTCTACAGACTCGTGGTCCGTACTCTTTTTTTTGGTTAAAATGTTTTCTTTTTTAATTTTCTTTTTGGGCTGTCACCGCCGCGTACATCAACCGGGCTGGTAGCGGTGCAGCAGTGAGTTCATGTTTATATATTTATATATATATATATATATATATATATATTTTTATTATATATTATTTATATATATATATATATATATATATAAAATAATATATATATATTTTTTCGAAAAAAATAATATAAAAAAATAGTTTCATTTACAAGTATTTAATATTCAAAATCGTATTCAATATAGAAAAATTATCTTTATTCAACATAGAAGCATTACACTTACTTATTGATTGTCAAATACTACCAATGATTTATTCGAGTAACCCGAGTTCAAATCCCGGTGCCGGAACCAATGAAATTATTGATTTCAAGTGCTGACTTATCACGTGCTCTGCGGTAAAAGAACACACCGTGAGGAAACCTGCATATTTTCGAAATAATAACAAAAAAAATATTTCGAAGTTATGTGAAGTCCGTCAATCCGCAGTGGGGTCGCGTGGTGTACTATGACCCTAATACCCTCTCCGCAGAGGAGACCTTTGCTCACTACAGGTTTAATGAAGATCGTTAGTAAAATACCTTTCAGTAAATCTATTTAGTACAAAATTTTCCTACAAACGTCTTAGAAATAGAATCAGAGCCTCCTGCTCGTTTGCCCCTTTTCTCCATAAAAAAAAGAAATCTTAAAGAATATAAAAATATTAAATTAATCTTCATAAGTTTATTCTCATTGATATGTATAGGTTCAAATTACTAGGTAAATTAAAAATTCTATAATAATTTGACGATTCTCAGGGAAGTGCCAGAGATAACTGCTAATCGCGTTTGTTTCAGGCACGACGAGGTAAAATACATTTACAATATAACGTTAACCGGTTAAAAAATTATGTCAAAAACATTTATTAACGAGGCGTATTGTAAAAGTTACGAATGAAAAATGGTTACGACGTTTACAGAATCGGACCTGAATTATTTTTCAGCAAACAAAAAGTTTTCGTAGCCTGAAATAAAAATCCCTTTCAATTTTTAAAATTTTATTAACGTAAAAAAATTAAATCTTTGGTATATTATTTAGGTGGACTTAAAAGATCAAAATTTCATAGGCACAATTACTTGTGGGAGTTTCGATTTCGATTTACCTTCTGTGGAATTTCTTTCGTTCAAAATCACTGATGTGTATTCATCCCTTTCATGTTTAGCTAAAAAGGCTGCTTGGGATGCTGTTTAGCATTACCTGTCTCTGTCTACCCCTCTAGCGCTACGAAATTGATATTATAATTAATTTCATACATTTTTCGTCGTTTGAAAAAATGCCGATGTTTGATATTCAAAAATGGAATTTCGCACCAACCAATAACTTGACGCAGACGTTGTGCCATTGAAAATATATAGCTTTCAAAGAATACGGCACAAATGTCGCCCAACTATAAATTGACGTCTGTCATTGAATACCCACCATCGGCTTTTTTAATCTGCGCCGCAGAGATTAAAAATAATGATTGCGAAACGTCTAGACGTCGAATTGATACGCAATAAATGACTTGTTTATTGAAATTTACGAATAAGCAACGTTTATTTCGAACAGAAAAAGTTGAAAGGGCTTCAGAGATATCTTTGAAAAGTACTTTACAATTTTCTTTATAGGAATGAAGGCTTTTCGAAGTTTGCATTTTTAATTACTTGTCTACGGGTTCTTCTTTTTTATCTTTTTCTTGTCTTTGAAATGTTACTGTTTTGAATGTGGGAGTGTACAATCTTCATTATGTAATTGTACAATACGGCAATACTTTAAATTTCGATTTTATCGCATATGTAATAATACAATTTATTTTGCCAAATTTTTTACTGATTTACCTTTTTTATATAGGCTGTTTATAACGTTTTTTTTACTAAACAGAAAAAAAGACACCATTTTATCGCACATGTAATAAGACAATTTACTATGAGCAAAAAATCTTTTCTGACATCATTTATGTATAGGCTGTTTATAACTTTTTTTTTACTAAACATAAAAATTAGTATCAAATGTGCATATAAAAATGTTTCATGTGTCGTTTTAGAAAGAAATATTATTCTCATGAAGGTCACGATCATCGAGTCTTGTCGTGGCAATTTAAATGATGCTTTCAAAAACGAATATCACTCCTCTTCAAATGAAAATCAAAATTTACACACACATTTCGCCTGCCTTCACGCCTTTCCCCCCAGATTGACAGACAATATTATATCCACACGCATCCTCCAGGCACATAAAATTTTTATATACATAGGTCACACTAAAAGTTTCCAGAACTGGCCACTTACATAAACAATATTTAAAAGTTATTACATTTGAAAATGGAACTCTTTTGTTGTAGAATACAGTTTATTTCATCTGACTATCAATTGTTTTCGCATTGTGGCGCCATTTTTAAAATTGCGTGTCTACAGTAACATGGATTTAACTCGGGAAAATTTTCGTAGTATGATTTTCTACGATTTTAAGAAATTCCAAAAATTAAAACTGACGGAATCAATTCAATCAATTGGTATGGTTTACTGTAATGTAACAATATTAATTACGTTACCCTCTGATTTTCATGGCGAGGTAAAGTACAAATCAACAATAATTATTTCAAGCTCTTGTGAAATGCGTAATCTATTATAGTTACAAAATTTAACTATTCTATTTTGCCCTATTACTTAAATTTTATAGAAGACTGAAGATTAAAGAGTATTAAAAAGTAAGAGTAGTAAAATAAAAACAAACAGATGATTCGAAAATCTCCTCAAATAAAAAGCTAAATCCATGGAGGTATCGACGAGAAACTATGCAGTACAATATACAAGCTCTGCGGTATGGATATGATTATATTACGCGGTATAACATTATTTGCATGAAACTAGAATATCCAGGACATGCAAGTGAATGCACGACTAATGTCATAACCCTCCCGAATGCATTGTACCAAATCGTAAGGTTTTTAGGGTTCCGTACCCAAAGGGTGAAACAGGACCATATTACTAAGACTCCGCAGTCTGTCTGTCTGTTTATCCGTCTGTCACCAGGCTGTATCTCATGAGCCATGATGGTTAAACAGTTGAAATTTTCACATAATTATGATTTATTTCTGTCGCCGCTATAACATCGAATATTAAAAATCAGAATATAATATTTAAACGGGGCTCTGATACAACAGAAATAATTTTTTTGACGTTTTTATAGATAACTAGCGACCTGCCCTGGCTTCGCACGGGTGCAATGTATTATACATAATTATAAACCTTCCTCTTGAATCACTCTGTCTAGTAAAAAAGAAAAAAAGGATCAAGATCCGTTGCGTAGTTTTAAAGATCTAAGCATAAATAGGGACAGACAGACAGCGGACGACTTTGTTTTATATCATGTAGTGGCAGTACGGAGCCCTTCGTGCTCGAGTCCGACTAGCATTTGTCAGGTTTTTCGCAATCTGCAATAGGTTCGTGCCCTTCAAACGATTTTCGTCGGTCGACTTGTGGTCGATTACTTCACCATCAAGGAGGTCGCGAACGATGCTTAGTTGTCTCCATTCAGGCGGAACGAATGCCTCGGTATGTCAAATTTGGGGCGCTTTATTAGATACGTGGATTTTTGCAGCGTTACGCGCAATCGATGGCGAGGTGCCTGCGAGCTAATTGGACTTTTGTTAGCGGATTGTATATCGAGTTAGTTGGTTACATGGCTTCTGATCGCTGGTTCTGGTTTCTGTTCCCATGCAATATCTGGACGTGTGCCTAGGTTTAATTAGTTTGCATGACAACATTGATGGTAACCCCAATTCAGAGATGAAAACGGAAGAACCATTAATATTGAAGCCTTAGGACCATTAGACGACGTAATGAATCTTCCTTTTTTATGCAAAGGTTAGGTTATGATTTCTATGCAAACATAGTCAAAGGTTTTCATTTAATACGGCCTTATAATTTAAAATAACACGATGACTTTAAATAATTTAAAGTTTTATGACTATCTACTTCGTAGAAAACTATTTACGTATTCGATGGATTATTCGATTTTATCGTTTGATTGCGACACTATCCCTTATGACATTATTTCGTCAACGTTCAACTTTGCGTCCAGCGAACAAATCAACTATTTACATGCACATGTAAGCTGTGCCTTTATAATCTGTTGTCGAATCGCCTTTTCTAAGGTCATCAAGACCTTTCGGGTCCGTCTCACGTCTTGTTCAAATCCATCCCCGATAGCAACATCGAAGGCTTCGGTCTGAAGGAATCCCAGGTCGGCTTGTTAGACGCAATGCAGATCACGTGTGGCGCTCGCGAGCCTCCGCCTCCGGGGGTGGAGGGCGCCGGGGGGAGGCAGGCGGGCGGGAGGGCCTAGGGGCGAGAGGGAGGGGGGTGGGGGGCGACGCCTGCGCGTCTGCGCGCCGCGCACCGTCCCCGGTCGATCCCGCCCGACGCGCGCAACCGCCGGGCCCGTCCGTCCATCGGCCATTCCGTTCGGAGTGTTCGCCCGGTGCGGTCGTCTCTGTCCGCTAGCCTGGGCGAGTGTCGCCATTCGCGCCGGCGCCGCGCTCGGCGATGGACCACGACGAGGAGCGGTCCCTCTCCCTGGGGACGGAGGTCTCCGCCTCCGTGCCCCCGCCGAGTCCGCTGACGGGCTGCTACCTGCTCGCCGTCATCGGCGAACCGCACACGCATGAGCACAAGGAGATTATCCTGCAGCGCCTGGTCAAAGGTGAGTGGAGCGCCCCTGCCCCCTCTATGCCCCCGCACCCCCCACTGACAGCTGTCAAGCCGGCGCGCAGCACCGGCCGGCGCGCGTTTGTTGTCCCTCCTCTCGCCGCACGCACGAGTCACAACACACTTTCACCGGTGCGCCGCGGACGAGGGATTCCGCTGCGACGTTCCGTCGATTCGTTCTGCGTAAAACCAGGCGATGTTACGTGTATCAGTTCTTGTTGGACCCATCGCTAGGGCTACGAAGGCGTCTTGCTATTATGACAGAAGGTACAGGGCTGTCAACATGCCGGCCGGCGGGCCGCTCGTTACGTCACCGGTGGCGTGGTTAGGTGTTCCCACTGCGCTACCGGCGCGGATTGATTGGATGATTGTTCGATTCGACCGAGCCCCCGACATGCTACCAAAACGGGGAATTAGCAAGGCTAACGGCACCTTTCCTGAATCTTTAGTCTCATATTGACACACGCTCCATGACTAACTTGAGGCAATCTACGATGTGCGATAAGCGAAAGTGGTAGGTGCATTTTGGGTTTACTCCGACGTCTGACGTCATCGGTCCTAATAGCAGGCGAGAACCACGCCAATGCGGCAGACCAAACTCAAGCTGCCCGTAATCGAACCATGAGGAACGGGGCCTGCGAAGTACGTGACACGAATCAAGATTCAACCTTTTCGTTAGGAACGGGAAAACGAAAGCGTCCACAAATCGTTTCTTATTGAACACACTTAAAAATACATGGTCCTTTGTTACAAGTGATTATATCAAGAACGATTTGCGGCTGCTCTGCAGATGCTAGCTTAACGGTTTCGTGTGAGGAACGCCGGCATTTTCTTGGCGACGTCTGTCTTATATAATGTCAAAAAGAAATTATCCTGTATCTTTGTCCGCAAGGACGACCCAATGTCAAAGCCGATTTATATCCGACGCGATATTATGTATATATTAATTTATATATTTTATTACTTGTACAAGAACTTTATAGCTTGATTGCCTTCTATTAGGTTATCTAAGTCTTTCATCGCAATTTTCTCCTATCGCTGGATATCGCGGTGTTATGCATTTTGTATTTGTCGAGCAACTATCTACAGATTTGCCGGCAATGACATTGCGATAACAGCAGTGTGCCAATTTAGGTGGCGCCGTTGTAAGGTGCAATCACTCTTTGAAACTTCATTCAAGATAACACGTTTTAAATTTCGAACTTACTAAGCCATCCGTACCAAAGTCGAGTTTTGAATTTTCGTATCTTTTTATGTTTTTTTTACATACGCCCAGCCTGTGCAATATGTTTAGTGCACAAGAAGTTATAAATTAATTAACTTGGTGACGCGTGAACTATCGATAAATACCGCGAACGCCAGGGCCTTACGGTTTTTTTTGGGTGTGCAAATCGATAAAATAGCAGTAAATATACGCGCGGCCAATCGTTAAATTTCGAAGTCAAGGGCGCCATCTTGTTTTTGTGTCAAAACAGGATGCGACATTGCGGCTATTTAATCCACCGGTATACTGCATCTGCAGATAAATATACAAGCACACGGACATAAAAAAATAATTCTTACAGATAGTAATAAATGTAATAACAGCATAAAAGTAATTAGTTTTACGATTACAAATTTAAAAATCTACCAACAAGTTATGGTAACAATTAACGAACTTGACGAACGGAAAGAAATACGTTTAAATGTATAATTTATGCGAATACCGCAATGTAATAAAACTGAATAATTTAAATTCAGTGCGGTAATATCTGCAAAGCAGTTTTAAAAATGTTTTGCTAGGTCAAGTTTATTAGTATTGTTAAAATGTTTTGATTGTTTATAATTAAATGCGAGTTTAGTGACAGAGTACTGCAATTCATTTCTTATAATACGTTTATTGTTAGTCATGTTTACATTATTAGTCATAGTTGCCGCAAAACATATAATGATATGATAGTTCCGACGGCAAATCGGCATCTTATCATCAAATCAATTTCATAAAAAGGTAGCAAAAAGAACACACACTTACAACACTAATACTAAAGATTACCTCACTGTTATTCTATTATGAATAATTAAAACCTATTAAAATAAAGTATCAAAAAATAAGCTATCGATATTTTTTCACTCGATTCACACGAGGCAGATAAAAAGGGACAGTTTTTTCATAAAATAACTTGCTTACTCGGGAACATTATTGTTTCTTATCTGTGTTTATACACAGTTTGGATTATGTAGAATGATTTTGCATATGATTTGCTGAATGATTTTAAAAGGGTCCAAACATGTTTTCTAAATTTAATTAAAGGAATCTCTTGAACACAAATAAATCAATCTATTTTAGAAATTACATCAGCATTGCCAAATCAAATTCGCAAGAATATTATTGCAAAAGGTCTATTGCAGATTTCAATTTTAAAAAGGAAACGTGCAGTGATAAATAACCAGTCCAATAAATATCAAATAGAACTGATATCCGTAAACGACGAATAGAAGACATACTCAATGTCAATTCTTAATTATTTCTGATCGGATTTTAGATTAATTTTGTTTTTAATGTAACTAAATTAAATATAATATAAATAATAATCACCTGAGCAGAGACCATGGCGTATTATTCCCTAGTCTTAATTTCGTGCTTATGACGATATATGTAAATAACTTTACTTAATATCCATTTGTATTAAAATGAGTATCTTAATTTTCAATGCTCAGTAACAAATATAACTGGTATTTAGTATTTAGTATTTACACAAAGCGTAGTGCGTGGTTCTATTCGAAACAGAATCTTAAAATTTAATTGGATAGTATCTTTCAGAAGAGTCCGGAATATGCGCTGTTTCCACAAATTTCCCTCGAATTCGTTCACCCTTGGTGGTGAAGTTAGAATAAACGTTTGTAATATAAGTGCGATAGGAAAATTGTTTGGTACAGGAAGCGAGAGTACAGTAAATTCTTGCCTATTGCGTAATCGACGCGATTGTACGAGATCGATGTAATTCGCTTGCAACGGAGCGGTATTTTACTGGAAGCCTAATTATAGTGGTGACAAAGCGAAGCGCCGAGCGAGATGAGTCAAAGTCAGCAAGGATTCTTTTCATAACGATTATTCCAAGATCTTGACCATCGACAACGTAAAAATCTATCGGCAGTTAAAAAAGTAAATATTTTGGAAAGACAACGGCAAATAATGGTGACGAGCACTCCTTTTTTGTATATAAGCAATCTACGTTAGAGCACAAGAGTCATAAATTAGCTTATGCGGTTTATTAGGAAGATTAGTCTCGAACAATTCACAAGACTGAGTGTGTTATGAATTGTCCGAGTCATTAGTCTTTTTAGTGGTCTTGTCAAGAGTATTAACTCTTGTGATATCTTTTTTTGGATAACAAAGAAACCTTTGCCAAGGTCTCCCGTGAAAACTGCTTGTAGGTTGGTGATGATCAAAAAAACTCATCTTTCAAAACTTTCTTCGTACTCCAATTTATGAAGAAATGATTTTTTTTATCTTTATTGTCGTCTATCACAGCAGTTTATATCTGTTCTGCACATCTCAATAAGTAATGTGGTAACTTTAAAGACGATAGAACAATATTGTTCTTTTATTGCGCTTCGTTAAAAGAATTTTTATATTAATTAAAGATAGAAAAGGGTTTTCTTTTAAAAGGGTTAATCCTTTAAAAGAAAATCTGGGCGATGCATAGGGGGATAACAATGACACACTGCTCATAGTATAGCATAGCAGAAATATTTTTAAAACAAAAACAAAACCTTTAAAATAACCACAAAGTCAAAAAGTCATTTATGCCTCTGGATTTTAATCTCTTTCAAATGTGACTAACATATAAAGACATACAAGTACAAAAACAGTTTCACCGTTTCTCCTGTTTATTTTTCTTGTTATAATTTGTGATACTTTAAAAAGAGAGCAATGTTCTTTTGTTTGTATAGACATGTTGAAATGTTGAATTCTGCAAAATATTCTTGTACAAATAATCTTACCATCCGGGTTATCGTGATTTTTTGGCAAATGCTAAACAAATAGGTCACGCGTCATATCAATAGTCAATTATTATGGAATTATGAATTAGCTCTTGCTTGGACATATAAGCAAATATCAGAAATCTTACCAGAATGCTGTCCTATTCGCTTTTGACTGTACAACATGTGAATTGTTTACTCAATATAAACGCATATTGTGCCGTGAACCAGATGGAATTCAATTCGAAATCTAAACGACTGAGGGCGATGCATCTTTCACACTTAACGTCGTAATTGTCTCATTCGCGCTAAGTTTTATGAGGCTCAATTATCTCATTCTCAGTTTTGTCATTCATATATTTTTATATCATTAAACTTATTTGGGATCGAATTTATAAAAGAGTTACAAGGATTCTACTTTCTCTACGCGTATGTTATTGGTATTATTATGCTTTTACTCTATTTACAATTTTAGCACCTTAAAATGTCTAATGTCTATTACCTTCCGACGAGATTTCTAATACTCTCTGGTCTCGGTCACGTAGTCTCCGTCATTATGCTAAAAATACTTTTCCATACTAGATTAGCTAGATTTCGATCAATAAAATATGTAGATGGTTACTCTAGGTCATCTCATCAAATGGTATAGTTCAGATCATCTAATAAATTAAATACAAAGAAAAGTCTACTGAGCCGTTAGATAACTTTTATTTCATCACAATTTGCCTGGTTTATGTTCGAGCGTATTACCGAAGCTTAGGCAGCCATGACAATTATAGTGCTGCTTTGTTTTCGGCAGCCGTCGGAATAAGTCTTGATTAGGCGTTAAACTGGCGATGATTACAAATTTACGGTTCCCATAGCCAGACAGTTGCTAGAGTCGCAATTAGATAGCACAAGTTGTTATCACACTGATTTATTTGCAATCATATAGTAAATAGATTTACGTAAGTAGAGTATAGTATAGTAGAGACAATGAAAAATCGATTACGGCCTGTCTATCTAAATTGATATTTTAAATATTTTTATTTAAATATTTTTACACAACATTTTCTAGTCCCAAACTAAGCAAAGCTTGTACTATGGGTACTAGATAATTGATAAACATACTTAAACATACTTTTCTTTTGTAAATAAATACATATTATGCATATATAAACACCGAGACACTAGAAAATAATATTAATATGCAACCTTTAAAATTAGAACAGTAGTTACTCGTTGTATTAGTTTTAAAACAAGGTGTAAATATATATATATAATACAAAAGATTCTATGTTATAAATGATTACAAGCAAAATGTTGTGTGAATATTGCTATTTGGATGGATGTATATTAAATATGCATAGACGAAATTTATCTCATTACGAACCTAAGTTTCTTTGGAACACAGAAAATTCTAGATATCGAACGGAATAGTTTGATTGTTATTATCAAGAGAAATATCCAAAAAGTCTGGAAATTCATTCCACTGCCACAAAAATAAAATCTTCT